TTCTCATTCCTACTATGATTATTTCTTCTATTTTGGGGTCTTAGCTTCTTCAGACTCATCATTTAGGTAGGGAGACGAGCATCCCCCTGAGTTTCTCGAGGGCCTGCCTTTCCACTGTGCTATTTCTCATGAAGACTCGGGGGCTCCTCTCCCTCCAGCGCACAGCTGCAGGCTCTGTAGCACTTGAGAGTTTTCCTGTCCTGGAGCCTAGAGAGATGGCTCATGCAGTGAAGCCCCTCCACACACGCATGAGGAGGGGAGTTCAGGTCTGCAGCACCCATGTGAAAAGCCAGGCAAAGTGCTGAGCACCCGCAGTCTTAGTCCTGGGGAAGTGGAGGCAGGAGGACCACCGCAGCTCCCCTCGTACCGGTGAGAGACCTTATCTAAAAAGGGTAGTGCCAGGCATAGTGGCGCATGCTTTCAATCCCAGCACTTGGGAGGTGGAGGCAGGCGGATCTCCATGATGTCCTCCTGTCATGACTTAGTCCTTGCACCCTTGAACTCTCAGCAGCTGTAATTACTTGTGCAAGACCTGCGCAAGATTTGGCCCATTACTGGTTAGGGGTTCATAATGGACCCTTTTGGATATATGGGCAGTTAACAGTTGCTTGGGGGAGGGCTCATGAAACCCCATCTCATCCCAAGAATATATACCAGCAGTTAACAGCTGGTAGGGGAGGGGTTCACAAGGCACCATGTCTTCCTAAGAGTAAGTAGATAGTTAATAGTTGCTGGGGGAGGGGCTCCAGAGGTGCTGCCCTCCAGGATATAAAGTGTTAACAGTTGCTGGGAAGACTTTCTTCAATATGAGTTTTCTTGAAGTGTAAGTTGTCTGTGCTCCTGTAAATAGTCATAATTAAATGCATTCACTTACAAAGTTCTACTTGTATGGAGTCATTTCTTTGACTTGTCTTTGGTACTCTACTGGGGGTGAATAAGTATTTGTTCCTCTCCCTAGGAAAAGTCCATGTAACAGCTAGATCAATCAGAATTCTTCTAACTGGCTAGTACTAGTAACTGGTGGTACTTGCCTTTAAGCTCAGCGCTCAGCAGGCTGAGATAGGACAATCTCTGAGAGTTCTAGGGGAGCCTGGTCTACTATTGCATATCAGGCCAGTCAGGCTGCACAGTGAGAGAATGTCTTACAACAAAATGAAACAAAACTCTGATAAGTCATTAAGTTAATGGACAAAATAAAATGATGAACAAAGTATTGTATCTAATCTTCCATATATGTTAATGTTCAAATAATGTGTGTCTGTGTGTGTGTGTGTGTGTGTGTGTGTGTGTGCACATGGGTGTTCATGTAGCTGCACATATTTGTAATCCTTGAGTTTAGGCAAGATCAAGGGTTGGAAGTCATCCTCAGCTACAATGTAAGTAGGCCAGACTGGAGTAGATGAGGCATTTGAATAGAGCTAATTGGCACATGCTTATCCCAGAATTTGGGAGGTAGAGGCAGAAGGACCAGGAATTCAAGGTCTTTCTTAGCTACATATTTGAGTTCTAGGCCATCCTGGAGTGTAAGAACCTGTTTCAACCAACCAAATAAACATTTGACTATTTTTCCAAGAAGGGTCATGCACACCTGCCTTCTACCATGTGGCTTCCAGGGATTGAGCCCAGGTTGTCACCAGAGAATAATGAAGTATAAAACAGCAACAACATCAGGGAATTGATAGCAGTATAAAGCTGCTCCCATGTGAACAGCTTGTGGCAAACCAATCAGCCAACCACATAAAAACACTTCTAACCATAAATTCAGTGAGTCAACTTATAATATGGCCCTAATGCCTTTATCAGACTTTTCCCTCAAGGCTGAGGGATGTCTTCGGTAGAGGATGACAGATTGTAAGAGCCAGAGGTGGTGGATGACTCCAAGGAAACAGGAATGGCACACTTATGACCTCTCAGAGAGGCTGGGACAGACAGAACTCATGGGACCTGCAGGGGTTCAGGTTCCAGCACTGGGAGGGGGAATTGGACCCTGGGGTCCCACTTCTAACCAAGAAGCTATTTGCGACTAATACCTGCTGGCAAGCGTGAGGTCAGTTTTCTCCAAGGGAGTGTCAGTGTGTATATCAGGGCAGGCTTGGTTCCCAGGAGTAGTTGGCCAACACAAGCAAACTCCATGCTTTTTAAGTGGACTTTTTGTTTAGCTTTGGCATTATTTACTTATTTATTTGGTTTTTCGAAGACAGGGTTTCTCTGTGTAACCTTGGCTGTCTGTCCTGGAACTCACTCTGTTGACCAGGCTGGCCTTGAACTTGGAGATATGCCTACCTCTGCTTCCCAAGTGCTGTGATTAAAGGCATGTGCCACCATTGCCTGTCACATTTTGGCATTTTTTTTTTTTTTGTCTTACTAGTTTCCTTTTTGTTTTTTATTTTTTTGAGAGAAAGAACAAAAGTTGGGTTAGGGAGGTGAGGAGGTTCAAGAAGCTGGAGAAGGAAAACATGATGAAAATGTATCATATAAAAAAAATTAGAGAAAAAAGAATATGGCCCTAGATGGCAGCAGAAAATGGATACTGCTACATTTTTAGAGAATTTTATTGTTCCTCACATTTATTAAGAGGATGGTCCTGTTGTGACAATGACATTGAGGATGGCAATGTAAAACTGTATTGTGTAACATGAAATTTCACAAGAATGTTTTAGTGTATTGAAAACATTTTTTTTTTTTTTTTTTTTTTTACGAAATTTCCAGAAAAATATTCTTTGAAAAGCTGGATCAAATACATGCAGATCTTTTTTCAGTTAGTAAAACAGAGCAGTGTATGTACGGAATTTAGACGCGGGTGAAAGCACTTGTGTATAATTTTCATTGAGAATGAATCTCAATTTCTACCAGGTTATACTTTATAAATGGCATCCACTAGAGTTTACACATTAGTCTTGAGTCCTGAATCGATAATTCACTTCATTAAAAATTTCACGTTCATTATCATTCCGAAGAGCTTTAAAATGTAACGTCATATGTCTCATTAATAGGCAGTATTGTCAATCTGGAAATTGAGGTCTAATTCACGCATCCATTTGGCTGGGGAAGTCACCAACAGCATCGGTTGTAATCCCACTAACAACCGACAGGGCGAGGTGCATCTCCTAAGTCTCTACAGGGAGTCCTGGAAATCCGGCACCATGACATCCGCCGAAGACGTAGGTGTAGACGAGGAACAAAAGACCCTCGTGCCGCCCTCCCGCGGCTCCGCTCCGAACGCGCCCCGCGGGGCTCCCGGGCGAGGGTCGCTGCCCACGGGGCCGCGGCGGGCAGGAGGAGCCAAGGG